CCAGTTAAGAGAAGGTTTGAACTAACTAGCTGACTCTTGTCGGGCAAAGGATCTGCCTTTTGCAACTGTACAGCTGGTGTGAAGGTTGACATTCCTGTAGAGCGACACAATCCATGGTCATTATAACGGTTGCTTATTCCAGCCGCTTGTGTTGACATTGGCAGAAAATTCTGCGGGTGTCTAGAACCACTGGGGTGTCTTCAAGATCATTTATGAATGGGCACGGGGTGCATGTTGTGGGTTGTCCATGGTTACATGCCTGCAGAGGATCTCCACCACTCACAGCTCAGAGTCCAGGCTGGGTGAAATGGCAGTCAGGAAAGTGAGGATACATCTACTGTATTCCTATTCTTCTCCAGTCGATATGGGATGTCCGCACCATGTTTCCGGGCCTACGGCCTAAGTATTCGGGACAGGTACAGACTGCACAGAGGGTGAGGCCGATCTTGGACCTTTTGTTGGCCTTGAGCGAGTCAACATCGCACAAGTTCTTCTTGCAAACATTTCACGGTAAACGTAATTTTGCTGAATATGAATGCCGCCAGTTTGTCCACGGCTCTGTCGAGGCCCTGACTTGTGATTTTGCCAAGCAATCGCAGGTTGTGCATCTAGGATTAGCTGCTAAGATAACAGGGTCTGGGTGAATCGAGTAGTATGCAGCAAGTTCACTGCCAAATGTTTGAGAAGCTGGTGACAAGAGCGGGCGAGAGAGAGAGAGAGAGAGAGAGGGCCTTGCCTTGCCTGAATCATCGGTGCATTCAAAAGCAGAAGTGAAGATGATAGGATGAAGCGAGGATGCCATGAGTCATGTGTCATGATGACGGTGCAACAGCTGACTACACCTTTGGTCCGTGGGGTATGTCGCGCGGAGCCTTTCAAGCAAGTGTTCTTGTATATTCGGTGTGCAGAAAGCATCGGCAAATGTTGCACTAATCACTAATCGTGGGTGCTTCCATCCATCACATGGCGCCTGTCCGTGCGAGCTGCAACGGGCCGCCAGAGAAGGGCCTGCTCCGTGTTGACTTGACATCAGTGCCAACCTTACGTGCCAGTACAGCCCTGGGCTTTGGAGCGTTGGCCTTGCGGGAGGAGCCGTTGCTGAGGGTGCCTTGGATTCGGTGCTTGAAATTAGTTGCAGTGGTGTGCAACTTGTTCAACATGGAACACTTAGATGGGCATAAGAGTCGATAGAGCAACAAATGAAGGCATTTTCGAGGGGAGAGGCCAGTGCAAAGAGTGGGAGGGGGAGCGAACTGGGAGAATGAGACAGAGCGGGTGTACGGTATAGGGTGTCACACTCTGATGGCATCTAGCTCAGTGAGCAAACTGATGGAAACGGGCTCCCCAAACCTCTGACCGGAGAGCAGAGCTTCAACGTGTGGATACCATCAATGTGTGCGGCCGGAATGGTGTGTCATTTGCTGTGGTTCGATGCGTTTGTGTCTTCTCATTGGATGCCATCCCACACCCGTGAACCATACCTTACTCACGCCCTTTTTCCTGGAGGGGTCATGCAAGTTGATCGGCAGTGAATTCATGTGAGGAGAGCTTACTGTTCCAATGCTCTCAAGTCTTGCTACTTCGCACTTGCCTTGTCAGTGCAAACTCCTTCCTTCCGAAAGACAATGCAAGAATAAACGGAGAAGCTAGGGTCTATGCCTTTACTGTATGCCGTTCTGTTCTATCTCCTGTTTTCTTCTTTCAAGACATCCTTTCCAATTCTGTCAAATTCTAGGTGCCACAAGACAATCTCAAAGGATTTCTCTCCTCTTCTGCCCCAGAGATCTTTGCAGAGCTGGCTGTACGCCTTGGTGATGAACAACGCCTGGGTGTTTTTGCGGCGTTCTTGCTTTTGTCAGAGGGGAAGCAGCAGGTGTTGTTGGGAATGGGCTTGCCACCTGGAAGCCAGGTGCTGGAAGCCAATGAAAAAGCCATCGCGGCTTTTTTGAGGGATTTTCCCACGTACTCTGGGGCGCTGGATTGGCAGCTTTTTGCTCGTGTGGTGGCCATCGTCAGTGAGCGTGGAACGCGGCTGCCCAGCGAGCAGGGCGGCTGCCACGTGGTCTACGAGCACTCCGACCTTGCCTCCCACAGCTGTTGCCCAAATGCCGTGGTGGAGACTTTGTCGGATGACGGTCTACGGGAGCTAAGGGTACTTAGTTATGAAGGCATCGCTGAGAATGAAGAGGTCACTGTAAGTTATGTTCCTGAAGAACTCCTACTACAGCCACTCCCAGACAGGAGCCGTGGAATTTCCGAACTGCGGCAGGGGTACCTGTGTCGCTGTCCTAGGTGCAAGCTCAGTGACGAGATGCCAAACCTCACTGAAGTCTCGAAGGATCTGAAACTTGATTTAGCCCTTGAAGACTTGCAGCAGAGGCTGCACAAGTTGAAACAGGTGGATGTAGCATTGCCATTTGCGATGGCATCTAAAGCACGTGTCCGCTTCAGATTGGCACAAGCATGTGAGAGGCCCCTCCCATCAGAGGCCAAGAAGCTGTATGAAGATGCATTCGATGAGACTGACATTGTGCTCGGGCAGAAAGGCCTCCGAAATGTGAGCAACATCAAGCGCCGTCTTGAACAGCTGGATACTTGATGCCAAAATTGGAATTTGCGTCCAGCAGTTCTCCAACGGCAGGTTGGTAGTTGTACACGCATATATAGAATATTTCACATAATGCCACAATGCGCTGTCGCTGTTCTTTGCATTTTGTTGATTGTTCAGCTTCAAGTGCTTTTTGTTTGTCCAGGTTGAACCCTTGTCTGAAGAATCTCTGAGCAGTTTCAGAGCTGTCATGGAGGAGAAGCATGTTCTTCAGTTTTGCGTTTTTGCAAGGCAGCATGTGACTGACTGGCTCTACTTAGGGGGCAGACGGAAATACAGCTCTTACAGCAGAACTTGTGCAAGAACTCATCAGGGTGACCAGTGCAGGAAATATTGGAACACGTTTTCGGAGATCTTTTCCCAGGCTTGAGCAAGGCAGGCAAAGCCAGATGACGCATGTATAATAATGTATATATATATATGTATTTATACATGCAATAAATGACCATGGTTCGGCATGCTCACCATTTGTGTTTTCCGGAGAAAGGATAAACGCATTCCCAGCTTTACTGAGGATGCATGGCCCAACAGCGCGAATCTAAACCTGTACAGGGATGGCCGCCAAGGAGTAGGCCAGCATGTGTTTGTTGGGCTATGGACTTGCAGAGCCATTTCCTTTTCTTGCTCAGAGCTGCTTGAACATGTGCACAACTTGTAGCTGTCCACCTGAAACCCTCGTGTTGTTGAAACAATTCGAATGAAGTGAGAGGCTCTCAAGCTTCAAATTTTTGTCGTCTTGGACTCCTTGGACTTCTCGCGCCTCTCCTTCCTACCTCCTTTCCTACCCCGAGATTGAACCTCAGGCAAAGGAGCAAACTAGAGCTACATGCAATCAATGGAAGTTTGTTCCCCCCTGTGGGATTAAATCCGGAGATTCCGGCCTTGGTTTATATTATCTGACTTTGAAGGGCCCAGGCCCAGGTGCTTGTGGGTCTCTTTGACTCACCAACTCGGCATGCAGGTTGGCATGCAGATGATGAGTTGCTTTTCAAGGGGAAGGACGCTAGAGGGCTCTTTGTTCCGATGATGTGATATTGTTTGATGTGGCAGTAGTTACCAGAAGTTGTGGAACCGGTGCGGCCATATCATGTACAGTAAACAAAGACAGGCATGCCAAGAGGACTCCGACTGCCCTGTCGTAAGCATCTCGTTGGGTGCCACTCGCGAGAGCGGGCCTCAGGCTAGAGGGAAGCTATTCGGCTTAGAGACAAACAAATTCTCAGAATCTGATGCAGCGAGGATGCAGAATGCAGTGCTGAAATTTTGAGGTTTTGGGTTGCTTTGAAGGATGGAGCAGTTTGGGACTCAGAGAGAAGAACATGACCAGATGTGCGGAACGCAAGGCGAAACTGTTGCAGTGTGATGCAGTGTGTGGAACATCGCTTTTTACATTCTGCTGATTTTCAGTGGATCCTTAGACTATGCGCACAAAAAGTTCCACAGAAAGGCCAGCGTGTCACCTGTCCTTAACGAGCTCAAGAATTCCCAGCAATTCACTAACAAAGAGAGAGAGAGAGAGAGAGAGAGAGAGAGCGGGAGGGGGGAGCGAGTGCTGAATCAGCCAGTTTGCAAATTTATTGTGGTCAAAGTGTTGCCCTTCCAACAGGATTATATTACATAAATATAAAATCTATTGTTGTCGGGGTCCTTTAGACATAGGACGGCTCAGACCAGTTCCGCCTGGCCATGGATGAGTTGGAGCGAAAATTGTTGGACGTGCTGGCGGATGTGCAAGCTTTGCGACAGACGAATGAGCCTCGATTAGAAATTCCGGACCTGTAGTTGGATGAGCAAATACCTCCACATAGAAAGGTTCCTTGTTTGGGACATCGCCTTCAAACACCTTCAATGAAGAATAATGAAGACGGTGTAAAAAATTTGGAGCGCTGCGCAGGGCACCAGACCATTGACTGGAGGGTGCTCTCCATTGACTGTCAGGTTTTCTGGTGGTCTTAAATTAAAGCTTGTGACAGCATGCGCCCAAAAGCTCAGACAGGCTGGGGCTCCCCACAGGGTAGGGGAGAGCCAACCATTTCTATTTTTATGTACCAGCATTCCTCCTTGCAAATCTCCCATATTGGGGAAATTGCCCCCCAGACGAGGCTTCGACCTCAGATCGTAAGTCGAGTAGATAATAACATATGTATATAGGAGGAATCTGGGGATCTAGCGATATGCAGAGACATGGGCGCAGCACATGATATATGTTCAATTCATCTCCGCTCAACCCTGCAGATAGGCGCACAAGTTCTCGAGTGCCTTGCTCGATTGAGGAGAAGCTGGATATGATCTTGGAGTCGAGGGATTTAGCTGGCGCAAATGCTGCACATGAACGTAGCTGTGTAGGAGCTCCTTTGGAGGCAGTGCAAGAGGAGAATTTGGAGGTGCGGCAGACAGCTTTGGCTGAGTGCCAAGCCTTAACGGAATTTGACACACCCGGAATGTTGTCGGTGCACGCAGATGCTAGAAAAAGTGCCTATATAAGTAGTTTTATAAGGATTTATAGATGTTGGTAAGTCCACCAGCCAACCATCAACAACCCTTGCGACCGTTTGAGTTTTCACTCTGGTTGACCTGCACAGACGGACCGCAGGGAGAGAGCCTTGAGCTGGAAGAGTCCAACTTGCGCAAGATTCCTCATGGAACGGGTGAACCTGATGCGCCACTTGTGCCACTTCAGCTTGTCTTTTTCCCCAGATAGCGAAGCTATGGGGTTCTTACTTCAAATAACAATGAGCTGCCCGTGCGCACTTTCGAGACAGGTTGCTGTTGCTGGGTGCTGGTGCTGGTGCCGTGCTGTGAGCTGGCTGTGCACGTGGTTGCTGGTGCCGGTGCTGGTGCCGGGTGCCGGTGCTTGTGCTGTGAGGTGGCTGTGCACGTGGTGGAGACAGGTTGCTGGTGCCGGTGCTGGTGCTGGGTGCCGGGTGCCGGTGCTGGTGCTGTGAGCTGGCTGTGCACGTGGTGGAGACAGGTTGCCGGGTGCCGGTGCTGGGTGTCGGGTGCCGGTGCTGGTGCTGTGGGCTGGCTGTGCGTGGTGGAGACAGGTTGCTGGTGCTGGTGCCGGTGCTGGTGCTGTGAGCTGGGTGTGCACGTGGTGGAGACAGGTGGCTGGTGCTGGTGCTGGGTGCCGGCTGGTGCTGCTGTGCGTGTGGAGACAGATTGCTGCTGCTGGGTGCCGGCGCTGGTGGTGGGTGCCGGGTGCCGGTGCTGGTGCTGTGAGCTGGCTCCGTACATTCTTGGTTCAGCCAGCTGCATGTCAACAGGTCGTGGGATTCTTCCTTGCTATCTGGGTCTATGCTGGTGTAATTTGTTGTGATTGTGTGTGTGGTCGCGGGAGAAAACCACGATAATGCGTGCAAGGATTTGGGCTGGTCCACTTGAGTCTCACTTGAACCGGAGAAGCACTGCAATCAAATTGTACGCTGAGGTATGACCTCAGACCACACTTCGGCACTGACATGCAGCACCAGGAAGAGAAGCCAAGAACGCGGACTGAACAAAAGGCTCATTGTCTCAAAATGCATTAGGTCAGGCAGGTAGCCTTGAAGTTAGTGAAGTATACAGTATACAGTATACAGATGTACATAGTCATAGGATGTAATTGGACGAGCCATTTGCATTCGTGTCGTGTCATTTTCCTCCTTTGTAAGCATCCTGTGAATCGGGCAAGCCCCAGAAAAAAAAGCATCCACAGGAACAGCAAGAGCCTACGGGAGATGAAGCTTACACCAGAGATGGCACCAGAGACGGCTTGTGCTCCTTCCCTTCCTTTGAGGCACTGCGGATCCCTCAAAAAGATTGAAGACGGCCCGTCGCCTTCTTTCCCACAGGCCGAAGCCTCCTTCCCTGGTGGGCCAGAGGTTTCAGTGGAGGAGTGGCCGCAGCGGTGGCGAAGCGGTGGGAGGTGTGGCCGGTGGATGTCCTACCCAGCAGCAACAAGCAAACAAATGTTAAACATCAGGGCCTGAGGGCTCATGCATTGGATCAGAATCTGTACTTCTATATATTCCAACTCAAATTCAATCAAAATAGAGTGCTCCACTTGGCCTTGGTGCTCCTTTATACAAACAATATATGAACACACTAACACCACAGCAGCATGCTTGAACTGACCATGCAAATTCTATAATTGCACATACAATCATATGAATCATATGTGACCCAAAGCGTTGAAGGCTTTTTGGTCAATGTGGCGGCACATGCTGCCACTTGGTGCCACAAGAAGTAGTGGCTACAATCAGAGCCCATGACCGGCACAGTGAGCCCAACTGGACAGTCGCAAGAGACGCTGAAGCATCAGTGATGCAAATCCTCAGGTTGGCTCGTGCAGACGTGTTATTTTTGGTTCAAGATTGCTAGTAGGTTGGAGGCTATCGCTATTAGGTTCTTTAAGCAAGTAGAGTAAGCGTGGCGCTTGGATGGCGAGGGTGAACACGGGGCGCAAGCCATACAAATTCGCCCACCTGGTTTCTTTGTTCGCTTCCCTGTGTGCGTTCGTTGGTGAGCTCCAAGTTGCAGAGGTCGGGAGGTTGCATTGTTTACAGCATGGCAGGCGTCGCCCAGCTGCATTGCAGGCCACAGGCATCCCTGAAACCCTGGCTGCGTATGAGGACGTCTTTGAACTTGCTGCAAGTGTCATGATAAGCATTGCATGCTTCGTGTACACCTTGAAGCCACAAGTGGCAAGCGGAAAAGAAGTGGACAGAGCAGAGATGATACAAAGGGCAACGAGCTCTTTTCTCCGACCATTGCAACCTGATCAGAAGAAAGACAATGTCGTTCAGACAAATATCATGGTGGCACTCCGTCATCGCTTTGAAGAGTGGAATGGGCACGCCACCTTCATCAGTGGCCGACATGGGTCTGGCAAAACCTGGGCGTGGCAAGAAGCCTTAAGAGACGTGCGAGGAGTTGCGGTCATTTCAGTGCACGCTGAGCCTGTGGCTGCAGCTGTTGAACAAAACCTTGGATTTAACCTTGGTGTGCTCAAGGGTGCTTTGGAGAGAGTTCGATTGGAGCTATCACAGTGTCCACACAACCTCACCAAAGTGCCAGTGATTGTTTTAGAGGTGTATTCTGGAAGGACGGCTTGCGTTGAAAGCATCTGTTCTTTTGCCAAGGAGTTGTCATCCGACCTTAGGCTGGCTCACGTAGTTGTTTGTGACTCATCCTTTGTGGTCCCCTGGGTGATGTCCAGAAGAGATTCGCAAGGCATACATTTATTTGTCGAGGATTTCTCCCTCAAAGAGGCCAAAGATGCTTTGGCGAGGAAAGGCCATGTAGAGGATTGGAGGACATACATTGACACCTGCGGTCGAAGGGCATTGGACATAGCTTTGGCCTGTGACCAGGGGCTAGAGGCTTTTCGCAGCCAGCGGAGGATCATATCCCAGCAAGTGGATCGCCTTTGCACTTTCGTCATAGAGCTTCCTTTAGGGAGTGGATTGCTTTTGGTTGGCCATCAGCTTTTGAATCAACTTCTCCGAAGGAAGCGGCAGGGAGATGATGCAGGTGTTGACCAAGATTTCTTGCATCCTGGATCTATTTGCCCGCATGAAGTGATTGCATGGATCGAAGAGAATGGTGCGCAGGCAGTCGTTTGGAAGGCTTGTGACCAGAAATATCACTTTGCCTCAGATTTTCACTATGAGGCGCTGGAAGAGAGGCTCCGGAGAGCCCAAATTCAAGAGCTCTAGGAGGAATACTTTTGATACTGAAGCGATGCATGCAAATTTGGCCGAGCCAGGCTTGCTACAATGATGTTTGATGCCAAAGAATAACATAAAAGTCAAGCGTAGCAATATTAATATGGGCGCCAGAACGTCATGTTCTGACAGAGTGCTTGCCTTGGGATGCCATGAGAACAAGCAGATCAACCCAGATTTGGCAGCCCCGAAAGCAACTGGTCTGATAAAAGTGTGTTTTGCAACGGTATGGGGCAGTGGGGCTGTGAGCACATTCCTCCATTGTGGAGGAGGCAGGAGGGGTCAAGGACGAGCCGGCCAAGAACGTCTTGGTGCTGGCGGAGGAACAGGAGCGCACACGCGGGTGTGTGTGTGTGTGTGTCACCCTCTGTTTCTAAGAGTTCTGCGTAGTACTCACTTCAATCCAGCAGGGGCGTGTGACACTCTTATCCTATCACACGCAACGAAGCTGTGGATAAGAGTGGGAAGGGAAACTTCGCCAGTTTCCTGTACCTGCGACGTGAACAGTTGACCCCCTCCGCTGTTCTTTGTTTTCGTGGTCCTTGCATGATAAACCCCAAAACAATTTTTTCAGCCGCTGAGCTTGCCACC